GTGGCAGAAGGGGTTTTGGGGTGACCTGGGAGTCCTCTCTGCCTCCGTGGGCCGGTGGTGGGCGCTTCCAGGAGCCAGCCAGAAACCCCTCTAAGGTCTTAGAGGGACCAGGCAGGACCTGCCTGGCTCCTCCTGTCCCTGCCTTCCCCAGATGAAGGGCCCCCAGCCACGTTTGCCAGTGCCAAGTCAGTGTTCAGCAGAAAGGCCCGGGTGAGGATGCAGCTCCTGAAGGACGTGGTGGGAAATGACACCTACCACATCAACAACAAGTACGACGGCACCTACGCTCCCCTCCCCGTGGAGGAGATCATCCGGCGCGCTGAGTACCTCATCGACCAGGAGGTGTCCTACGACCTGCTCGGGAACAACTGCGAGCACTTCGTGACACTGCTCCGCTACGGTGAGGGGGTCTCTGACCAGGTAGGTAACGTGGGGTGAGGTCCTGCATGCCTCACAGAGCACCTCCTTGCTGCTCTGTCTGAGCCCCTGGACCAGGGCACAGCCTGCGAACTGCGCAGGAACATCAAAATCCCAGGTGTGGGGTCCAAACCGTCGCTGCCTTCGGCCTCGGTGGAGACCCTGGACCAGGAGATTGGCTCTGGTCCATCTGCACCCTCATAGTGCCCTCCTACTGAGTGCCACAGCCTAGGGGTAAAAGCCTGGGTGTTACCCCTTCTGCTCATGGGACGGGTGTCTCTCATTCATTTGATTGCCTTGGTTGTCTCTGCCTGCTCTTCATTAGGGTGCCTGGGGGTGGTTAAAAAAAAAATAAAAAAGCTCACCATGTTTCCAGCCTGTGTTTTACTCCCCCTTTGCAGGCCAGACGAGCAATCGGTGCCATTGGGTTTGTAACAGCTGCTGCTGGTGCCTTCTCCTTGCTGGGCTTGCTCCGGAGCAGATCCAGGGAGAGACAGTACTGACAGGCCGTGGGATGAGCTCGGAGCAGGGCAGGGAGCCCCAGCCGGGAGGGTCTGGGGACAGTCTGTGGCCGCAGCTTCCCCCAGGACTTACTAACAACTGTGCTGCCCTTGCTGAGAGCAGCGCTAGCCTGTTTGCCACATCTGCTTTTATTTCATTGCCTGTGGTGATTTTTGTGGTAGTCTGGGAGTGCTTGCAAGCGAATTCTCCATTCTCACACCCCCAGTGCTCTGCTGAGGGCTGGTGCAAGCTTTCTCCACACATCCTGGTTTTAGCAGCTACATCCTGTGGGCTTTTTCTGTGAATAACTTATTTTAACCTGCTTGAGGAAACATTTTTACTTTTTTTAAACAACAGTAATGTGCAAGTGTTGCTTAGGGTTTACTGTGTTGCCTCCAGCAGAGAGCCTGTGCAAGTGGGAAACCCCAGGTTCCAAGGCCTGCGGAAGGGCAGACGAGGCACGTGCTGCATCTGGGGGCCTGGGCCAGCGGTGCCTAAACTGAGCCGCTCCTGCGAGGGTGGGAGGAAGGAAGGAAGGGCAGGTCCCACAGGCTGTATCCCTCGGTGTTTTAAATGAGTGCTCTGGTTTTGGCACAATGGCGTTTTGTTTAGTTTTTTTCCTGCCTGCGAAGCATCCCTTTCCCTGGCTCTCTGTCTCCCTTTGGGAGCAGCAGGCCCCCAGTCGGGGGGGATCTGACAAAATCCCAGCTAGCTGTATCTCTGGCAGCTGTTTGTTCCAGGCTGGGGCCACTGTGCCACTGAAATTTCCCTCTTCATCCCTGTAAGTGCAGTAATTGGTGATACTGGACCTGATCAAGCATACTATAGATGATCTTTAAGGTCCTTTCCGACACTTTATGATTCTACTCCTTGGTCTGTCAAAGCACTGAGGTTTAAAGAAAGACACCATGGATTGCAGGGGCAGCCAGGAGCCTTTGCCCTTTGCAGCTGGGGCCATTGGCTCCTCGGGGACCTGAAGTTGAATTTAAGCAGTTGGTAGCCTGAGCACAAGATCTTTCTCCAGCCAACAGGAAGGCAAAGCCAGGGTCCCTGCAGTGCTCTGGGTGATGCACCTGGAGAGTGAGCTGTGCAGCACCTGTGCCCCATCGCCAAAGCTGCAGAGCCTCATTACTTCCTTGTCACGAAGCTGACATGTGGCTTGTCTTAGAAGAGAACTGTTTTGGAAAAGTGTGGTTTATTACTCTTTACCAGGAGTATCTGGCTTGCATGTTTGGAACCATGTTATTTGCAGAGCACATGTAAGAAATAAAATCCTTTGTTGCTTTTGCCACAGGCAACTGCCTGGGCTGTAAGAAGAGATGAGAGCAAATGAGCTGTCTGTAAGAGGCGTGCTATTTTTGTCTGCTCTGAACATGTACATAACAGGATCAGAAGCTTTTTTTAAACATCAGTTGTTTAAGTGTTTGAAATAACAAAGCTGAGACTTCTGGTCATATTTGTAGTGCCCTCTTACTACATTTAAATAAAGTTCTTTTTTTAATATAGGAACACATAATAAAACTGAAACTGAAAGTCCTTTTTTGCTTCCTGCAAATGTAACCAAAAGTTCTTCCATGGTGGCTGAACAACTTGAAGATGAAGGAGCAAGTACACAGGGGCTCAGCTTCTTGTACCTGTCCAGTAGCCGTGCACCAGAGCGTGTTAAAACCCATGCTTCTTGCTGTGACCTAGTTAAAGCGAGAAGCCAGGGCTTAGCCCTGCTTTCTGCCGCGTGACACCAAACCTGGGCCAGGACCTGGCAGCGGCAGAGCATGAACTGAGGGGGTCATGCCTGCGTGGGTGCAGCAGCTGTGCTGGCCTCTGCCTTTGCAAGCTGAAGTGGGGCATATCCTCACCAGCCTTCCTAGCCTGGTCCTACAGCAGTCCCTGAGCTTTAACCTTTCTTGTACTCAGAGCATTATGTCTGCAAGAACTGGCAAGGGAGAGCTAGGCAAGGACAGCATACATGCCCTCTCACATCTGTAATTCACTCCAAGATGGAAGAAAATGCAACCAAGATTAGGTCACTGATTTTGGATTGCCTTCCCATTAAGCCCGGTGGGTGCATTGAGAGGATTTGGTGGAGCAGTGGCTGAAACATAAAGTGAGAGCGTGATGTAGAGCAGCAGAAGCCAGCACTTCGCTGTATTGAATATTTTTGGACCTTTGTAGGGTATGTTGGTGAGGCCCGAGACCTGCTGTTGCAATGGAGTAGAGTCAAGGCTGTTATTTTGCCAGCAGCCGAGAGAATAATCCTCGCCTGTGCTCCGGCCCACAAGGAATGCAGGCCCAGCCTGCCCCTGAATGGATGGGTTTGTGCAGGGATTTCAAACATCTGAATCTGCTGCACATGGAAGGATGAAAACCCGCGTTCTTCAGTGCATGCCGGGGAATCTGCCAGCACTGTGCAGCCCTGTGCCCGGCTGCGGAGTCTCACTTAGTCCTCATTGCTGTGTTCATAGGTAGGGTTAATGTAAATCTCCTCTGTGCTTTTTGCTGCCAAGTCTTTTGTGTTCGCAGGAGGCCAGTTGGGATCTGTCTGCAGCATCCTCTGCCATTTTCGATACTGGCTCTTTGACTGGTACCCAAACCAGGCTTTAAGCAGCAGCCAGAGGTGCTTGTTCTGCAAGATAACATCCTGCGGAGTGACACGGCACAGGGTCAGTGCTGCTGCTCTGCACAGGGAGGGAGGACCGCTTGGGGACAAAAGCCATCCCTTGCTACACATGCAACCCCCCTGAGCCCCACAGCGCTGGGCAGCTGCATACGCTCCCCTTTGGTAACACGGCTGCCAGATGCCACCATCCTCATCCTCAGGAGGACTCTGCTCAGCTATACCAGGAGAACACTGATCCCAGTCTGCTTGGCTAAAGGGGATAGTCAAGGGGCATGTTTTTCCTCCCGGGGCTGTGGGATGACTGGGCTGTGGGATGACTGGGTACTGCTGCTCCTTGCAGGGGCCAATACCTGGTGCTGGACACAGCCTGTGCCCCCACCAGCGGTGACGCAGCCAGCCTTGACCCACAAGACGCTTTAGGGCTTAGTCATTACTGCAACATCCAGCTCACAAGCCAGCAGTCTCTGGCCTGGTGGATTGTAGGGCAAGAGGGAAGCAGTTTTGAAATCACTGCCAAGTGCCTGCTGCGTGCTGCGGTCTGCTCCCTAGCAGGCCAGGGCAGCAGGCTCCTCGGGGGCAGCTGCACTTCAGCCTACTCTCTCTCTATTTAGACATGGTCTAAATAATCCCTGGTGCTGCATAAAACAGATTTGATTGACGTGCTTTGAGTTGGGGGGGGGGAGGGTCCGGGGGTTTTTTTCTTCTGCAGGAAGAAAGCGAGGCTGCAAATGGGTGCAGAAGGACCTGACCAGACACTGGTTCACCCTGGGAAAACGGGTGGTAAACAAATGCACTCACCTCCGTAAAAAAAGATATGCAAAAGGTGACCAAGAGCATCAGTAAGATGTAAACTCTCCAGATCACAGGAGTGCAAAGAAACTGTTGGAAAAGACATGAACGGCAATTAGGTTTAAACGCCTTGCCAAGATTTGCATCTGTTCATGATGATTGGAGAGGCTGACTAACATTTTTCCCAGGGGCAAGCATGGAGGAGGCAGTAGGAGGTGACAGTAGTCCCTTGTCACAGAGATCATGGAAGGTTTGGTGCCAGATTCCCCATGGCACGGAGCTGCCCAACTCATCTTGGCTACTTAAGCTACTGCTGAAACCTGCAATCCGAGTGCCTGGGGCAGAGTCTGGTGCCCAAATACTTCTGGGGAGTTGCAGCCGATGCACAACGTGCAGCTCCTTGCCCTCTGTGTATGCCCGCCCTCCACCCAAATCCATCCCATGCAGGATGGCTGGGGACGAGCCGCAGGGCGCGGCCACTCCC